CTGAATGAACATCTGGTACTTTCAAAAATGCTAAATGAGCTCATGCAATACAGATTAAACATATCAATGCTGGTAAATCTGAGTGTATTTTGCAGCATATCAGAGTTTTGAATCTGGTTTCTGTGGTGACTTTCTCAGCAATGATTGGCTGAAGAACAGAGAAGGAGTTTGAAACAGGATGATGGTGGAGCTCATGACGGAAGCGTTTACATCTTGCTCTCGAAAATATCTCCTTAGATTAAGGCATGAATTACTTCACCTTCATGTCTGGTTTTAGTTTTATTTCATCTCTGCTTTTGTCCCAGGCAAAAATATGTTTCCAGTTCTGTTAGCAGCTCAATATTTTAAAGCTTCCTGAGATGCATTTAAACTGAAACCACCAGACATCCAGTTTTGTCTGCCTGCACTTTCTCCCCCCTCTACTGTCTCAGCCCTGTGCAAAGTGCCAACCATCACTGTTTTCTGATGCTTTCATGCTCTACAAACCCCATTTCCTCTGAGCATCGCTGACTTGGTGTCATAGATCTGCGATGTTGGACCTCAAAACATCAAATAGTCAGCAGGATCCATCACTCCACCCTCTTATACCCCTACAAAATTACTTTCCTCCCGAGCATGTTTTATCAGTAAGTTACATAAAAATCACTGTTGACTCGAGAGCGGGGCCGAGATCTGTTATGACTCAGACGGAGGAGCCGTGGAAGTCTGAACAGAGCTACCGAGACTCACTGAGGTTCGCAGGATTCAGGATGACAGCCTGAAATGTGACTGACGCTGGAAACACATGGAAATAATGGAGGCTGTTCGGTTTATAAAAACTCATCCGTCTGAGCTTTTGGGGGCATTTGTGCTCGCGTAATTTTCACATTTTATTAGGATGCATTGTCAAATTCAAATGGAAACGTCAGCAACGACCCCTAAATCGAAAAGGAAGCCGTTATTGTATCTGAGGAAACATGGCACAGCAAGAGAGGAAATGGGTGTATGAAAAAAAAACAGGAAATCAAAGAGAAGTAGGAAACAGGAGATGAGGGGAAAATTGAGGCACTTTTGATAGGAGATGTAATCAGTTTGTTGCTGTTAATATAAAATATGGGTTTGGGGTGTGTGTGTGTGGTAGAGGTGAAGGCAGTACAAAGATGGGTGACTAGAGGACAGAAATGTTTGGTCAATTCAGAAGTGAAGGGAGCCCCCTGTTGGTCAAAGGAGGAGTTTTGGATTGCAGAAGTAAAATTTAAAAACATTCTCGAGCTTCTCTTCTATTGAATTGTGGCCTGAAATCTGCAGCACAGACAGTATAGATTAGAGGAACCAACCTGAAGAGACAGATGGTGAATCACAACTGAAGTAACTGTGGGACAAGTAATGACCTCCAACACAAATCAAAATAAAGCGTCATCAAGGTTAGAAAAAGGCTGCTGTGTTTACTAGAAGCTTGTCTCACACTCCACTCTATCATCCTCCTCTTATAGTCAGTGGCATCAATCACTCTATTTGTCAATCAGAGGAGGAAGTGGCAGGTAGCAAAGATGCGAGCAGAAGGCAGGAAATACACATGATCCTGGGTGCTCCTGTGACAATATTTCATAGATATTCCATCACAAAGTAAGTTTTTCTATTGACTATTTGTAGAAGACATCCATCCATCCATCCATTCTCTAAACACCACTTAATCCTCACTAGGGTCACGGGGGTCTGGAGTCTATCCCAGCTGACTCAGGGTGAAGGCAGGGGACACCCTGGACAGGTCACCAGTCTATCACAGGGCTACACTTAGAGACAGACAACCAAGCACACTCACATTCACACCTACGGACTATTAAGAATCACCAATTAACCTCAACATGTTTTTGGACTGTGTGGGAGGAAGCCAGAGAACCCGGAGAGAACCCACGCTGCACGGGGAGAACATGGAGACTCCACGCAGAAAGATCCCTGTGTCCTCACTGGGACGCGAACTGGCGACCTTCCTGCTGTGAGGCAACAGTGCTATCCACTGCTTCACATTGCAGCTTGTAGAAGACATGAAAAGCATTTAAGCATCAAAAAGTACACCAAAGCTTTTGACATAATTACGTATAAACAATGAGATCTGCATCATATCTGCTTGGCTAAAAGTTTGCATGAAAAAGTTATATTATATAGTATATATAAATATTTTACATGTGGGATGAAGCGCTTTTATGTCAACTAGTGAATGTGGACATTTGAAAAAAACGTTGCCTTTTATGTCTGCAGCTGCCAAAATAAGAATCAACATAATATCATGTTAATTCCACTACAGGAGATACAGCACCCTCCATAATTATTGGTTAAGAAGTGTTAAAAGCCTTAAAATACTTTCGATTTTTATTGCAGAAGCATACTCTCACACTGAAAATTGTAGAAAAATGTAACCTTCAACTCAACTCAAATGAATTGTTGGCAAAAGGGGGTTGTACAAAGTATTAACATCAAGGGTCCTAATAATTGTGGCACACATGATTTGATGTCAAAGAATTATTTTTTAATGTGGAATTTTTTTCACACTGAATAAATGCACTTGAATTAAAGGTTGAATTTTCCTCTTTTTTTTCATTGTGTTCCTATATTATTTAGAAAGAAACTGAATTTACTAGAAGCTAAAGAACACATCTTAACCAGGGGTGCCAATAATTATGGAGGGCGCTGTACATCAGTCTCTGCAATTAGCAAGTGGACAAAATTAGTTTAAGAATATTGATATATTAGGTACCAGCAGAATCTAATATCATGCATCCCTAAACATAACAATGGCAACTTTCAGTGACTTCAGATTACCCCAGTCATATAGTTGAAATAGAACAGGCAGCATTAAAAGATCCTACTGATAACACAAGTAAATATATTAAGACAGCATCACTGTTTTTGTTTGTTGTGTTTTAAACACCAGCTGTTTGGGGCATTTTATACATATGAAAAGGTTCTTTATAGTCATTACAGGGGTTTAGTATTTTCCTGTATTTTTCAATCATTTGTTGGAACCAGAATGAGGTTATTTCTAAACAGTTTGTTAAAGAGAGAGAGAAAAAAAGCCCTATGGTGAAAGTTTTGTAGGACAGATGTATGTAGGTCAGAATCATTCAGTTGTGATCTGAATCAGCTCCACATAGTAGAGGCCGTTTTCATCTTCGTGTCTGTTACTCTAATTACTTGTCAATAGCTTCATCTGTACTAAAACAATCGGCCCTTTATCAGTGCACGAGTGGAAAAGGGTTTTATGACTGTTGACATACTGAAAATTTAAAGGCTTGTGTGTTTTGCCTTCGTTATAAAAGTAATAACAGAGTCGAGCAGTAAAAATGTCCCACAGAGAGTGTGTGTTTGTGTGTTTGCATTGTAGTTATTCCACACTGCTTTGTCAAAACTGTCAGTGCAACAGTCTTTATTATAGCAAACCAGAAACAAAACAACAGAATAAAACATACAACAAGGACAAAACCAAAAAAAGGACAGAATATAATGCCATTTTTTTTTCATGTTGCATAATTAGAAATGCCAAAAAGTCACACTTTGCACATTTCAGTCTCAGTCACAATCAGAAAACTCATCATGTCAGTGACGTTATCTCACCAAACACACATTCATGTTTTATACATTTACTAGAATTTCGCAGCACATTTTGCAGTCCTGATATCGGAGGAAAACTTCCCTTTTTTTAATATATATATAAATGCGTGCAGAATATTACGTAATAGTTAGATTGCGTTGCCAAATCTCCTAACTGTAATCTCCTGCCCTCTAAACAGGTTAAGTGAGATAATCCTCACCTAATCCAGCTATCATGTCTTTAATCTCTTAATCCAGTTTTTGCTAAACTACAGATTAGATCAAGTGTGCTGACAGGTATGAAGGCCCATTTTCATGGGTTAAGAAGCACTTTGGGCAAGTAGATGTCCCCGTACGGCCCTCAGTAGGAGACTGCCGTGTGTTTCCTGCACCAGGTTGGTGAAATAAGTAATCTGCTGTTACTTATTTCTGCCGTACTGGTTACTAGCTTCACTGACGGCTCTGTGTCTATAGATGGTAAAGAGACAGCTGTAGGCAGATGTGCATAGTGGCCCCACTGGTGGGTTTCTCAACCTTTGGTCCAGGATCTGACATTGAACCTCTGGGTATGCAGACAGGGTCACGGGAGGGTTCATTGTAACTTATAACTTGCTGTTATCCATATTATAATGCCTTTTTATTCTTGAAAATTGAAAACAAATGCATGTCTGGAACTTAAGCAGGGTCACGAGGCAGTAAATTAAAAGAAAAATTGTACTTTTTGTGTTTTAAGCAACTGTAAAGTCATTGAAAAACAGACATTTTTGGTGCAGAAGCGAATAGTTTAGACTCTGATATAAAAGGGACTTCTACAATAGCTGGCCAGTTTAGTTACAGGACATCCTGTGTAAACTTCCTCCATCCTCCTACACCTCACCCCTTCATCACGCTGTTTATATCCTCTTGATTTCTCTTCCACAGGCAGCTAGTTGGTCTTGGTGGCGCTCTTGGTCTTCAGCTCTGCCAGCTTGCTGGTAACAAAGTTCCACTTGAAGGATGCGTCCTCGCTGCCTCCTCCCAGCGAGACGTATTTAGAGAAGCTGTTGTTGCTCCTTCCTCCTCCTCCTCCTCCTCCTCCTCCTTCTTCACTCACCTCTCCCTCGGTGACCTGCCCGTCCTGGTTCTCCTCCCCTCCGGCCTCCGTCACCCCTTCCTCGGCCTGCCCTGCTCCCGCCGCCGCCTCGTTTGTAGCGGCGGCGGCGGCGGCAGCTGCAGCGGCTTCGGCCTGCTTCTTGGCAGCCCAGTTGGTTGCGAAGCTATCCCAGAATCCTGAGCGCCTGGTGGGTCGAGGAGGCTCCTCCGGCTTTACTGCAAGTGGGCTGAGAATTCAGAGGAAGTTGTGGGTGCTTTGGCTTTGGGGTCACCTTTTGTGAATCAACTCTTAGGTTCTCTGGTTTTAGATTTTACTCCAGTGCTTTAAACATTATTCTACTGACTTGTTGATTAAGCAGATTTTATATAAACTGACAGCTTGGGATTGATGAATCTTTGCTCATGATGGAGTAATTTACATAACATTCGGGGCTTCGGTGTGGTGACTTTCACATTCTAGCTTTGTTTCATCTACACGAACCACACAGGAAAAACCAAGAGATGTCAACAAAAGATTTCCACTCACTGGTCAGCCACTGGCGGGCTCTCAGTCTCCTCTAGAAGCTGGTGTTCGTCGTCTTTGTTGAAGAGAGATGATAGTCTGTTCCAGCTTTTAGCTCCAGCCCCCTGCATCTGGACAGGTAGGGTCAAAGGTCAAAGCAGGGCTGCATTCAAAGGCTCACCTGAATAGTGGAGCTCTGGTTCTTGTAGAGGAGACTTATTAGCTTTTCTACCTTTTTTTCTTTTAACGTGTTACAGTTATTTTTTCTATACTTGTGATTATAATTTAGATATAAAACCGTGAATGTTCACATACTTTCCTGGCCAGTTGGGAGACACCAGTGGGTCCTTCATCCTCCTGCACTGGACTCATGTCATTCTCCACCTCTGTGACCTGCAACAGCAGCAAAAAAAATGCCTAAATTCCCTTCTCCATGCAGCAAGGTCCTGAAGACAACATACTGCCTCAGTTTATGCAGATGATTTGTGCACATTAGTCGCCATCTAGTGCACATTGTGGATACTGCAACGTGTACAAAACTCCAGGACAAGACCTAAAGATATGCTATTAGGAGGAGTGGATGCATAGGTTGTTGGAGATTGAAGAACAATAGCAGCTTTTACAAATGTTTTTTTCTAATCATGCATTTTCTTTTCAATAGTGTCTTGACACAAGGAAACACTTTGGCTGTCTCGTGTTTCACTAGTTGGTGTGAAGCAACGGCGACTCAAATAGCAGCGATGACACCTCTGCATATCTGTCTAACTGGAAAGTATCTCTCTAAACACACACGGTATTCCCTGCTGTCCCTGCAGACCCTGCAAGAGAGCGCAGTCAGGAGCTGGCAGATCTGAGTGCGCCCCGAGGACCTGGCTATCCGTCTCGTCCCCCTTGTCAGTCAGTCAGTGGACGGCCAACTAATCCGTTTGTTCAGCTCCTGTGCAGGATCGAGTTTCTCAGCTCTCCAGAGATCTGGGTCAACGCAACGCCGTCTGTGTTACTGGTACCAAATCCTAGATAGAGTGCAAGTGGTGCAGCCGAGCTATGAGCATCAGTGGTGGAAAAAGTGCTGAGATATATTATTTAGGTAGACGCACCTAACACAGCAATGTAAAAATACTCTGTTACGAATAAAAACCTTCATCCAAAAGCCTACTCAAGTAAAATTTCAGTCAGGATATAATGCACAAGTAGCGTTTCACTGTTGGAGCCAGTTCGAAGTAATTTATAGTTTTGCACAGTGGTTCCTAATCTATGGGTCCGACCCCTGCAAACAGACACAAGATAAATCTGAGAGGCCGTTAGATGATTAACAAAGTAGGAAAGAAGAACAAATTGAATTCTGGTGCACAAGAATGTTAATTTTTCTTTTTTTGTAAAATGTTTACCTGAAACAATTATTTTCATGAAAACTCCTCAGAAATATGAGAAGATGCTTTAATTTAAGCTGAAAATCCAAAAAGGTCGTTTCAGGTGCCACATCCTTAATTTAAGAAGTAACTTTGGTGTTAAGATAAAAGTATTGGAGCAAAAAAATTAAATTTTCTCCTCAGAAATGTGGTGGAATATAAATATAAGAGTCATACCTCCAAATTATACTGAAGCACATGACTTGAGAAATGGATTTGTGCTCCACCACTGATCTAGACATTGCATATGACTTGTGATGTTGCTGTGACCCCAGTTACAAGCTGTTTTATTATTGCTCTGGGAACATACTATGCCAGTGTGTTTCATTCAAAGTTCACAACACATTCTTGTCATATGAAGCATCTTTGAGTCTCTTGAAGGACACTCGATCCAGAAATGGACTTAAAAATTGAATGTCACGTTGGCAGATTTATATGATGGTATCAATAAACACAGCTTCGTCTGTCATATTCGTCAAAACCCAGAAGAGGAAGCAGTCTGCAGGCCTAACTTCTCTCTGGAAGTTCTTCATTGCACAGACAACAAAGCAGCTCTGCAAGCTCATCTAACCCACTGATGAATAAGATATGATCAGCAAAACAAAACCTGCTGACTTTCTGACTTCGGTGCCAACAGCCACTTTCTCATATTTCAACATCTTTCTGACACTTTAACATATGATTCGCTTAGTTGAAGCAAATATGCAGAAAGGTGTAAATTCTGTACCTCCTCAGCAGCGTCCTCCTCATACTCAGGATTAAGAGTCTTCAGCACTTTGCTTTTGTAAACCTTCCACATTGGATTCATGATTGCACAGATAGATGCTCAGCACTCGGAGCGAGACCCCTGAAGACCTCTTATTCCTTCTGTGGTCCACCCTCCACCGAGTCTCCACTTCCAGCCTCGGCTCGTCTCAGTTGGGCCCACTTTCGACTGTTTCCATGCGTAGCGTTCGCGGCAGATTGCAGATGCGGGGAAACTTGTTTAGAACTGAGGCCCGAGCTTTTTCATGCTGCTTCTCCTGGTCAGATTGTGTCTGCCTCGTCAAGCCAACGGTGGTTGACAGCTGCTTTCGTCCCCGCAGAGTGTCTGAACAAGTAAAGCTAGGAAGTTGTGCTGCACACACACACACACACACGCTAACGTTTAGCGTCACGGTTCAGAATCCCTGCCTTGGTTACCTGGAAACAGGTGTGGATTTCCTCATTTATATTTCAGAGGGTCCAGAGCCAGAGGTCCATTGTCAGCCAGCGTTGGTAGGTTGGCTCCTGTAACCCTGCACATGCACACACACAAGTGCACATCCACACTATTTGCACGTTTATGTTTGGAAGAGAACATTTATTTTGATCATTTTAACACAACAGGAGCTCCTTGCATTGTGAAAATTCATGTTTTTTTTCCCCATATCTGATGACGATGCCCTCTTTGCAAGCTCAGTCTTCCTTAGTGGACACAACAAACATGGCGGTATTTTAATAAAAACCTGCAACAATCATTAGTAATCTGAACTGCATTTTATCTAGTTCATGTATGGAAACTCACCTTTACACCATCTCACCATAAAACCCACCCATCTTCCTGTTACCTGGCCACTTCCCTGAGACCCGCCCCTCTGCTCTCATTGGTTGCTGCGGCGTGTCACTCAAACACAGATGAGCTTCAGGTGCACTGCAAGTTTGGGTTTTTTTTCTAGTCGCTTGGTAACCTGAGAGGCCTGGCGAGTGTCATGTAGATAAAGAGAGATGTATAAAGCTCTGATGACTGATAGGATTTCACCAGCCACCCACAGCAACAAATATACGCCGGCTTTTGCGTACGTGGCTGCTAATAGCTACGATAAACCAACATTTAACATTAAATTGGCACAGATTGTCTCTTGTTATTGCAGCAATGGACTCAAACGATTGTAATAAAGCACTTGCTGCTCGCTAAAGTGAAGAACTGATCATAATCTTGATTATACATGAGAGAAATTTGAGTGTTCCATAGCTCTCCTGTTGCTGGTTTTGATTACCATACATAGTTCAACGGTAATGAAGCTGTAGGGTCGGGCAGATCCATAAGAGCTGCATGCATTATGGATGCAGGACGACACGTCTGCGCACACAGACCGATGCATGTTGGTTGTTTGAATTGCAGCCAGTTTGGTTGTGGCTGAAGCAGCTCAGGTTTCAGACTGGAAAGGTCACACCCAAGTATTTATCAGAGCTAACGCACCACACGGAGGCTGGGGATTGTTATAGAGGCAGCGCGGCTCGTTTGATGGTCTACATGTCTTTTTATAGATTATATAATGAATCTATCAAAAACATAACCTGTAAAACTGTGGATATTTTTTTTAAATTTAAAAATATCTGGGAATACTTGCAGTGAGATGGTCCAACAGGGGCTCACTTTATCGGAATTTTAGGTGCATTTGTATTTTAACAAATAATTATTTCCCTTGTTGCTACAGGTGACAGTTTACTCTGCAGGGCTGAATGATCACATGTGACATTTTTTTTTTTTTTTTTCTGAAATGAACTTTCAGAGGTCAGATTCTACCTGGGATACATCTACCTGTGTCCATCCATCCATCATCTATACACCGCTTAATCCTCACTAGGGTCATGGGGGGCTGGAGTCTATCCCAGCTGACTCAGGGTGAAGGCAGGGGACACCCTGGACAGGTCACCAGTCTATCACAGAACTACACTCAGAGACAGACAACCAAGCACACTCACATTCACACCTACAGACAATTTAGAATCACCAATTAACAAGAAAGAAAGAAAGAAAGAAAGAAAGAAAGAAAGATTTAAAATCCCGGCCAATTTTTCAGTAGGATCATTTTGTATTTGTTCACTTGATACTTTATTAAATTATTTCTTTTTATTTCCATCATGCTTTAAACTAATTATTCACTTCATCTATTTTTAAATATCATGTGAATATGAGACAACAAAACACAGTAACTTGTCTAAAACAAACCTGCCTTGCCCTCCATAAATCCTCCTCTCTCCTTTTGTTTTGTTTCCATTATCTATTTTTCATTTACACTGTTATTTACGTATTTATTTATGATTTCTTCCACTTCTTCCAGATTACACACAAGTAGCCTTGGTTTACCACCAGGTGGCTCAAGAGTCCGTAACAGTTTTGAACATCTGTTTCGGGGCACCTCCAGGAAGCAGAAGTGTCCTTTAAAATGTCCTTTCAATGTGATCATCAGTGTGATTCTATTGCATACATACTGACTAATGCAGAGTATAGGAATTATGTTGCAATCTAAATAATTATCGATGCAATACAATATCAATTTATAGGCAAATGTAAAAGTGCTGTCGTGGCAAACAGACTTGCAATAAGGGGAAAATGAACTGATCGTCTTCTATGCATGGCAGTTTGAAAAACTTTTTGCATGGAGCTGCTGTATCTGAATTCTGGTTATTGTTGGATTTTATTTGATTTGATGTCTCTTTAGATTCAAGAGCGTTGATTATTTTTATTTATTTTTTTACATTTTTTGACTGTTGTGTTAACGTTTATCAGAGTTTTGCCTCCACTTGAATTCAGGTCAAAGGTCTTTGTTTCCAGGCGGTTCCTGTCTTGGTGTTGTTTTTGCACATTAAAGCCATTATGTATTTGAACGTTTGAAGACGTGTATTTCCCTTTTTGACTTATCCACCTCAACAGGAAGTGGCTCCCCAGAGACTGGACCTGATCTCCTCGCACATTAAAGCACTCTGCTCCATAAATACTAGCTGAGGTCTGATTGTAGCTCTTCAATCCTTTTTCTGCGGGAAAATCACAAGCAGCTGGCAAAACAGGAAGTTAAGAATAACGTATTTCACGTGTGATTATGTGGAAATAAACAACTATTTTCTTCTTGTTGTCATTTGCAAGACATCGTCAGCTGGTGCTTGAGTTCATCCATATATATATGTTTCATGTGCATGGGATGGACCCTTCCTTGCCATTGCCCCCCATTTTCGACCACTAGGGGGAGACAGCAGAGCAATCCCATGCTAGTGTGTTGCTTGAGGGATGAGGAACAGAATGTACAGAACATGATGTACAAATGCATTAAACCTATAAACACGCTCATGCCCACCGTGTCAACATGCAGGGTCCTTTAAAGCCCCCTTAGAGGTCAACTGCTGCAGGGGATAGATAACATTATCCTGAATCAGTTGAATGGAAACGCCAGGAGATGTGAGATTCCTCCTCCAGCGATCGCAGCCGACACACATAAAGTTGGATTTTGATCTAATTAAAAGCTAATTCTGTGAACAAAGCGATGTGTTCTGCAAAAGGAGGCTGGAGCACACCGGCCGAGCTTCTTTTGTCCAAGGAGACCTCCTACCAGCAGCACTGAGGGAGAGGATGGTAGTCATGGCTGACCCGTCACTTTAACAGATTCACCTTGTCATTAAGTCTACATCAGCAGCCAGAGGAACACCATTACCAAAGCGTTGTTAAATAAAGTGTTGAACACGTACAAGTTATTCAGTGAACTGAGCTGTGAGCTGGTTTCTTCCATCAAGCTGCTTGGCGCTTTTTTAAGGCAGCAGTTTTGCTAAATTCTGCTAAAATATGCATGAAAATGTTAATTTGTATGACGTAATTCCTCAAAAGGAAACCTGCCGTTACTGGCGGAAGATTATTGGAACATTTGGTCATGTAAAAGCAGCAATAAAATCATGGAAAATCATTAAATACAATGAAATTTAAATCCTGCGGTGTATTTTTACCTGAGTAAAAGTATGAAAACATCACTGGCAAAAGACTTCAGTAAAAGCAGCAATCAAAGTGTAAAAAAAAAAGAGGAAAGAAGTGAAAGTGCATGAACATTATCTACAAATATACTTAAAATATTATAAGTTTAATTTCTAATTCTGCAGAAAATTGACCCTTTTGAGTGTTATCATGTGGTTTATTATGTCATCATTAATAGTGTTCTTAATCTAACACTTCAGTGTTAAAGCTGCACGAGGTGAAGCTAATTTTATTTTCCAAATAGGTGGCTTAAATTAAAATACAACTTGAATACCACTGCCTATTGTTCCTCTGAATGCAATAACGATGATGTGCAAAACAGAGTGTACTGAACATGCACTCAGGGTGAGGACAAGTGAACTCCAACGCATCAGACGAGTTTGGAGTCGAGGCGATCGACTCACATCTGCGCTCGTCCTTCTTCTCAGCAGCCCCCCCCCCAGATACAGTATCCTATCGCTGTCCTCCCACGTGTCCAAGTCGCACTCGTCTATTTACCAGACTGTTGTTCAACCTCCTGCTGTGACTCGGTTTGAATTTTAAAACTCTACCTCTACGTGTGTGTGTGTGTGTGTGATTTTATAAAGCTGATGCATATGTATTTTCTCACCAGCCAAAATGTTTCCACTGTAAAAATAGACCTGAATGCACAGATGGAGCCACAGGAAGCTAAAAAAAAAACTCAGCTGGGCTTCAATCACAGTCGGAGTCCATGTGTTGAACGAGGAAACCCGGCTGCCCTTTGCTCCATTTAGTCGGCTGAGTCTAGTTCCAGAAAAACTTGAGCTACATACTGTAGTTTTGAAGGTCGAGGTAAATCTGACTCAAAAACGCAAGTTAAAAACAGATGAACATTTGAGCTGGAAGTGTGTTGATCGGTTGATTGATGTTGTGAAATTTCAGTATGCAGGTCAGTGGGTCAAATTGCAGAACAGCTGATTGGGCTTCATCTAACACAACACATTGCATGAGTACACTGACATTTTAGGAAAGACTTTAATTTGTATTCCTCCAATCAACACATTATGTCCTGTTAGTTTAAACCA